GTCTTGTCAAGGCAGAAAGCACCTTCGTTGTTCATAACTTTGATGTCAGGACCCAATTAAAATCTAAGGGTTCCCGATTTGAAAGTTATTAAAAAAAATGTCTAATTTTTGATTTGTTTCCTTTGAAATACCTGCCAGCTCACCAGGCCTCTTCAGTCCCTCATATCAAATGTGAAGAAGAAAGTCACTCTTCGGTTGAACTTCCAGCGACTCATGTTCACACAAAGGCAAACAGCCAAAACCATCACTGGGTGTCACAAATAGCATTCCTCCACTTTCTGTGAATCACAAGACGTAAAGGTGGTAGCTGAAGATTTTGTTTGTCTTGCACAAAGTAACAGCAGAAGTGGATCATTGATCAAAGTTTCCCTCAGGCGACAGGCGAGGTGTTTCTATAGTTTCTTTAGACTACTTCATTATTTGACTGGCAGCTATGTGATTGTGTAATTATGTGATGGAATGTGAAGTGTTTTACAAGCCCCGAGGCATGAAATACTTCAACGTAAGCTCATGTCATGTTTCTTTTGAAATATTAATATTTATTATTAAAGTATTTAAACAAAAGTATTAAACATCATCTGTTAAACCAGTGTGGGGTATATCATATCATACATCATCAGCATTCTTGCACAAAATCCAAGTCTTGTACATGGAGCTGATAAAACTGGCAGCACATTAACAATACATTGTGCTGAAAAATTCCAAGGTGGTTCAGTACACTCGCAGATGTTTTTATTGTAGGTGCTGACACCTCTGAGTGGCGTCGAACCAGACGATGCCAGGGTGTGGCGGTGCCTGGGGAAGTTGGAGTTAGGCTTAGAGGGGCGTATGTAGCTCCAGGAGATATGGGGGAGTCCACAGTGGAACCTGGAGGCCTTTGCTACTCAAAGCTCAGAACACTCTCTACAACGTAATTTCAACAAACATGTCAGTGTATCAAGTAATTTCAAAGAAAACTTAGCCTGGACCTTATCTTCCCATGTTTGTGTCTGAGTGGTTAATGGAGACAACAGTTTTTGAGGTTAAGAGAGACTGTGGCAGCTGCAGCTGTGAAACAGGCTGCGATGTAATTTCTAAAGGCAATCGTGCACAGTCAATTTATGACATCTAAAAGTGTGTTTTTGCCACTAACAGGCTCAGACTGATATTTTAAGTGTCTAGAAGCATTATGGAAAAGACCCTGGTCTGTTTGTTAATGTGTGTAACCAGAACGTGCCCAAGAAGAATTCAGACTTTGACATTTCACAGTGCAGTCAGCTAAATGTCCAGCCATAGCAATTAAAATCTTTAAGATAACGTTAAGCTACGCATTCTGTACCTTAACAAAACAAACACTTCCTGGCACTCCTCTCTCCAACTCTCACTTATGTTTCCACCGTTGTTATTCCTGCAACAAGTCGCCTCTTGCAAGATTTCAAGACCTCTCCTTGTGCGAGGCTTGGTTACAATGACATACAGGCCAGCATAAGGTAAGGAAAAACAAGCACGTTTAATGGACGGAAAGTGGCAGTGCCAAATTGCCCCTGGCGATTACACTGCAGCCTGCTTCATCGCTGTGGCTGCAGCAGTCTCTCTCAATACTGGACCAATTTCAAAAATTGCTGTCCTATTAGTCAATTAGACACAAAAACTGGGGAAAATAGGGTCCAGGTTGAAAAATACAGAAGCTCCCTTTAGGGTAAAGAGTGGTAAAAACTCACCATGCTGTCTTTCACATCCCTCCACTCCTCTTTCACCTCCAGGTGGTTGATATGTGTGCTGTGATGTTCTGGTGGTTGCTTTCACAAAATCCATGTTTCTCTTTTGACTCTTCCTAGCTCACGACAGTGCTGTGTAGGATCAAAGTGAGAGTGGTCAAGGTGTGTGGCAGGATGGGCTGAGAAACACACACACACACACACACACACACACACACACACACACACACACATTTTTTTTATTCTTGTCACTACAAACCAAATGCACCTTTCTCTGTCTGCCCCTGTCTCATACACATAGACGGCAAACAAAAACAGTACCTGGAAACAGAATTGTTGGCTCTTCAATGTCAATTAATTCTGGAGGTGATCTTGCAGATAAGATTACCAGCATTTACACGTGATGTGGGTGAGCAGGTCCGTGTCTTTATATCTTTGTCTGCGTATGTTTGTTTTCTTTATTTAGGTCTTTTTTTCAAAAGTAACTCCCCTTGATTTCAGGATCTGTCTTGTTACTATGCAGTGGTGAATCCAGAACAAGCTCTCTTCATCCACCCTAACAACCTTCTTCAATCCCAAAAGACAAACTGACCTCTTAATCCAATCAGGTACAGTGTGTGATCAGGTTTAGGTTAAGCACTGAATGCTCTTTTTAATTGAACCATTTGTTTGCTTTATTTTCAAGGCTGTAGACCCAAGATTTCGTTTTCCTGCAGTGATGAGGTACTTCCTGCCACAACAGTGCTCGCCTCTCCCTGTCAGTCCCAGCAACCCCTGCAGCCCCACCTCTAGTGTCACAGAGCCAATGTACCACGAGCTGCTGCCTCCTTGTGACTGCCAGCAGAACTTCTGCCAAACCTCTAAAGGCTCCACCTCAGGATTTGAAACACTCTCACCAAGCACCGTGTCTAACCAGGATGACACTTTGGCCAACTCAGAAAACTCAGTGCTTGATGCAGGAGAATACATCCATGTCACTGAACCATGAAAGAACTGTAGAGCACCACAGAGTGCAGTAAGGTTTAGGGAGAGTGGATCATGTCCTCTGTATATTTTTCAGAACAAAGATACAACTTCAATAGAAAGGGAACAAACTGACAGCTATATAGTGAAATTGTTTCAGCCTTATGTACAGACACTTAAGCCCCAAAAATGTATCATTAAAGGTCCAGTGTGTAGGATTTAGGGGCATCTATTGGCAGAAATGGTGTGTAATATTCATAATTATGTTTTCATTGGTTTATGATTACCTGAAAATAAGAATCGTGGTTTTCATGATCTGAGAATGAACTGTTTATATCTGTGTACATGGCGGGTCTTCTCCCATGGAGTTTGCCATGTTTCTACAGTTGCCCAAAACGGACAAAAGAAACACTGGCTTTAGACAGATTTATTTATTTTTTTGTGTTTTCTCATCAGCCACCGTAGTTCTACATGCTTGGCATACAGGAGAAGTTTCAATTCTGCAGCCTCACCTCTAGATGCCGGTAAATACACTGGACCTTTAATTAAACTATAAATTTCAAGGGGGAAAAAAGAGAATATACTTAAACATAAACCTGATAACCTCATTGTACTTCTGCTACTGTATGTCTATTTTATAGTTCAGTATATCAGAGGTGAAACGGTTCATTAATTAGTAAGTGACAGAGACATGAATATCTTTGGAAACAATTTTCTGATACTTTAGACTTAACTATAATTTTTTATTTAAAAAAAAATATCCATAGGCTTGAATGATCAGTAATGAAAACAGTCATGACTTACAGACCCATTGTGTCACATTGAAGCATACAGTACAGTAGCCTTGTTGCATAATGTTGATATATCCTCCTAAGATCCAGCAATTCATCCTCCTCTGTGGGGACATGACACTGAGGCCTTTACCTTTAAAACCATGCATGCAGTCTATTTGACTCCAGATAGACTGGGAAAAGGACATCCTGGGCTTTGTAGAGATGTAACAAACATGGCGGTGTGACCAACACAACATATCTTTTGTCCTTTCAAAAAGTGGGGAACTGTGGTCTGAGTAGTCTGAATCTTAACTATATTGTATTAAGATTTCTTTAAGATGTCTGTTCATTTTTATGCCTTTCAAAATACACATTTTAACACGTAATTTGTGGGGGACAGCGAGACTTGCTTCTTTTCATTCTTAACCATTTCTTGTACACACACACATAAGCACACACACTATGTATAACCAGTTAAAAAGCATGCAAAATGCCTTTAATATTACATATCTTAAAAGAGAATTTAATTATATAATGTAAATGTATGTTTTGTGGAAAGGGACAAGGGACATGATACAAAACATTTATAAAGAACATTTCACGAGAAAGAAAAAAATATATGTGATATGTTTCCTACATTCCAATTACTATGACATGAAATAAAATAAAAATCTAAATATCCAAACGTTTTTTTCTGGGGCTCAGGAGGATATATTTTTGGACTTTGTACTGTTACTTTTGGGCTCAGGTAGAATGCATAAAGTTGGCTGTACGAAATGAAGTGTGAGAACCTCTAATTCATATTTCATGTCTTCTAACTTCACTGACGATACAAAGCAATGACCCCCAACCTGACGACCTAATGAAGGGTCCCAAGAAAAATCTGAGGGGTGATTTTTTTTTTTTTTTTTTTTAATGTAAACGTTTTGCTTTTTTCCCCCTGTGAAATCCTACATACTTTCAGCTCAGGCCTGTGAAGTTCTGCATTTGAAATGATCTGAGAATTTAAAAAACGTCTTTCACAACTGTTGTCATGAGGGGTTACAGACAGACAGTTTTGCTTCACGTTAAAGGGTCCACCAGTCAAATAGATTGGGGGCCACTGTTGTAAATTACAGGGCCAGTATGACCAGTCTCTGCCTGGCAGGTCTGCAGCATATTGAACACATGGACACGCCCATGTAGCTTTCTAGCTGTTTCCTACAGCTGGATCGGCTCTTAAAGGGGAGGACAGCATACTACAGGGGGAAGCCTTTACAATCAGCCTTGAGGGATACAATAAGTTATTTATATAAAATACAATTCATCCAAAACCCAAGCCTGACAGGAGCTCCCTGGTGACATTTATTAATATGAATCAAGAAGAGACACAGAAATGAGGGCCTGCTGCTGTCTTTAGAGAACACAGAGTTCCCCTTAAACCAGCCCAGACCTGCCCTTTAATTCAGCCTGCTCCTCCGCCATGTATCCACTGTCGGCATAACACAACAGCGGGACCCTCAGCTTCCACATCCTCCGTGCCCTTCTCTGTCCGCCGCGTCACCAGCGAGTCTCTCTTCCCCCTGCCATGCCCCGGGTCACCTCCCTGCTGCACGCCCTGCTGTTCGTTCTCCTGCCGGGCCCGAGCCGGGGGTATTTCCCCGAGGAGCGCTGGAGCCCCGAGTCTTCGCTCCTCGCTCCCCGGGTCGTCGTCGCGCTGGTCTGCCGCAATTCGGCGCACTCTCTGCCGCTCTTCCTCGGAGCCCTCGAGCGCCTCGACTACCCGAAGGACCGCATTGCGCTGTGGTGAGTGTCATCGCTTTTACTCTTATAAAAGGACTCATGACACTGAATGTCAGATTATATTGTGTCAAAACTTTTAAAAGTATTGTAAGAATATTAAAATGGCAGAAGAGTATGCCTTAATGTGATTTAACGTGAGTGTGAGCTCATTAAAGAGACACGTAAGGCTCATATGGATATGGAAGCCCATGTAGACATATTATAGGGGAAAAGTCTACGTGCGTTTGCGCGTGCGCTTGTGGGTATTGGCCATGTGGGGCCGCTGTGTTGTTATTCAGATGTAGGCAAACGCAAGAGCTCGTTATCTTCACACCTCACAAATCAAATCGTTGGTGAAATGAGTGAAGGTTAGAGCAGCGTGGGTGTGGATGTGCCGGGGTATTATAAGGACTTGGCCCCGGCAGCAGAGCCCGGAGTGCGGGCTGCGCCATCAGACAGGCCCCTTAAAAAGTTCCATTCAGTCACAGATCTTCCTTCTCATCCCCCCTCCGCTTTTCCCCTCTACCCCACCCTCCCATTTCTTTTTCCCCTCCCTCTTCCCCTCTCCACATCTTCGTCTTCGAACAAAAATCAGCATTTTTGTTTAAAAAAAGTTTTCAAATTGCCACCTGAGCTGTCAAAATCTTGCACAATCCACCTTCAACAAACTGCGTCTGTGAAGCTGTCTATTAAAAGCTTCTGCAGGATTTACCTTCCTCGGCCCCGGCCTGTTGTTTTGCCACCAAGCCCCCAGCCTTCCAGATTATTCTTGTCTCTACTGCTCACTTCCTCTTGTCATTTTGATCCTGCGCCAGTAGATCTGTTTTTGGATATTAGGTTAATCTTTTCATCAGCATTCAGCCCTGACAGGTTAGATTGTATTTCCTACAAACCCTGTGACCTAATAAAAGCAAAGAAGAGCAATATCTTCAATCAGAGTTTATGTGATTGTGTGAGTTTGGATTGCAGTGCAACATCATTCAAACTCCCATGGATTGCTTCATCCGACAGGGTGCCAGGCCGCTCTGAGAGTGTGCTGTGGGAGCTAGAATGAGGGATTCTAGTGTCCCTGTGTCTGTTTAAACAAACCACCCTGAATGTTGAGCTTTTTTTCCCCTTGTATCCCAGCCAGCAAATTCAGCCTCGGTGCCTGAGTCTAACTATGCCCATGTGGCAGCCGGAGCTCAGTTTTCTGCATGGTTGCTTTGATCTACAACATATCCCTTCCCTCAGTGAAAGACCACATGTAAAAGGGTTTGAAATGCAGCGTGAGAGACATAAACTGAGCTGCTAGCATGCCACCTGTCGATACCTGTAGTTATCAGCCCGACAGGTTAAGATGGAGCACTTGGCAAGTGGCAGCATTGACACACTCTTATGCAGACTGCCTAAATAAGTGTGTGTGTGTGTGTGCGTGTTCTGCAGGGACATGCAGGATGGATATTATCAGTCCATAAATCTTCCAGTTTTATCTCTCTTGTCTCTTTCTCAGCTTTCTCTTATCCTTAAGGCATGGCTCTGTTGCTGGCACTCAAGCAAACCCAAATATTTCCTCTCTTTAAACTTTATTCACTACCTCTGCTCATTCAGAACTTCACAGCAGCCAGACAGCAAAAGGTAGGGAGAGCAGCAGGGGGAAGAAGAAGAAGATGGATAGGTGGGTCGGTCACATGTAGGTGCTCGGACGGCACGGCTGTGTTAAAACGCCACAGACAGATGGGAAACTAACACCTGCAGCACGCCGACTGTCACTCACTACATGACAGGGCCAGGAGCACATCCATTTCTCCCATATTTACACATTCTTTCCCCCTCTCTTGCTATGTCTGCGTCTGTGCCCCTCCCCGACACATACTGAGATCTGTTATGATAACACAGACAGCAGACGAATGCCACTGCTCCGCTTTTCAGCCCCTATTGTCTGCCTGTGATCTTCCTAGTCCACGCCAAACAGTAGTGATGTGCAACTCTGCTCCTATGACAGCAAGACCCTTAGGGGACAGACGTAGAAACAGATATTACATAAATATTATTAATGCAATATTTTATGGGGTTTGGTTGTATCAAGATACATCTTAAATGTGTATTTTTGTGATTAAAGGTCCAGTGTGTGGATTTAGGAGGATATATTGACAGACATGGTATATAACTGTGTTTTCATTGGTGTACAATCACCTGAAATTAAGAATTGTTCTGTTTTCATTACCTTTGAATGAGCTGTTTATATCTACATACAAAGCAAGTCCTCTTCCACCGAGTCCGCCATGTTTTTCTACAGTAGCCAAGAATGGACAAACTGAACACTGGCTCTAGATTGGGTCATTCACCTTTTCTTGTCAGCCACAATACTGTAGTTCTCTTTATGCTTGGCACACGTGAGAATCTGCAGCCCTTACCGCTAGATGCAACTCAATCCAACAAACTAGACCTTTAAAATGACTGTAAGTAGGCAACTCTATAAAATTATTATTTGCAATATTCTGATTTCAGCTTCTTCTTCTGCGCCCAAATAGCCACGAAAATGCATTAATGGCAGTTTGAGGCTGTGTTACAGTTAACTGATAGACTTGTCTGAGCTTATTTGATTTTCGTGGTTCAGACAAATGATCAGTGAAACATTCTACATCATTCTGGTCATCATGTTTAAATTGCCAAGTGTTTTCTGACCTAACAATAGTGATAGTCTCCACGTTATATCTTAGTATGTTAGTGTCAAGTCATTGTCATGGTCTCTAAATTATATTTGTGGTCCTGAAAACATGGTAACAGCAGCTTGGGAGGATGACCAAAGTGTTCTGTTCCAGTATATTAAGCTATAAATGTACCAAATTTGACACTTTTATCGCAAAAATGAACAATTTTTTTAGCTATGCCGCCCAATTTATTAGTTTGTTAGCAGAATTATACAAAAACTGATTTTGACCAATTTTCACAAAATTCGGTGGAGGGATGTAACACATGCCAACTTAGACTACATTAAATTTTGGTATTGATCCAACTCAGGGGGCGTGTCCACAGGCCGCCCACACATGACCGCCCATTCACTTCCATTCATTCCATTCATGAAGATTATGTGAAACCTGTCCAACTAATTTTCACAAAACTTGGTGGAGGCATGTAGCATGGTCCAACTTAGAAGCCATTACATTTTGGAGTGGATCCAATTAACGGGACGGGTCCATGGGCAGGTAGGATTCAATTGCCTACTCTGGCCACCAGGGGGCGAGTTTCCGATGCCCCGATATCCAGATTTGTTCTCAATATATTTGTCAACACATCTGCCAAATTTGGTGCTTTTATCGCAAAATTGAACGATTCTAGAAAAATATTGAGCTATGCTGCCCCACTAGAGCCCAAGGTAGCGTCCAATTTTTTTTTTTTTTGTGTTAAAACCACGGGTGATGTCACCCATGGATTTGTGGACCTGCCGTCTTGGTTTTTCTGGAGCTATTTTTTTATCTGGACTATATTTGGATGAGAGGCTGGTGCTGTCGAGGAGCAAGGGGTGGATCTGACTGAGAAGTGGGGGACACTATCCACACACAGCCTGTCACTCTAAGCGGCCCACCCTTAATTATGCATACTGCTTTAGGTCTTAATAAAATGTTAATGGACGAGATATAAAAAAAACTCCCCCCCCCCCCCTTACAGTTGTCCTGAAGGGGGAAGTAGCTATAGAGACCAAAACTATTTTTTGTACCAGGCTGTAAACATGTTTATTTCTGCTTGGGCATTTTAACATGGGGAGTCTATGGGGACTGACTCGCTTCTGGAGCCTCAAGCAGGCGTTTAAAGAACTGCAGTTTCTAGCACCTCTGTGTTGGCTTTATTTTTCTGCCTGGGAGGTTTCCACTTGTCCAAAATATAAAACTACTGAATTTACAACTCCAGTGCCTTTTAATGTGCTTGATAAATTACAGAATTTAACAATCAGTTGCATATTGACACTGTTGTTGCTTCTTTCTATTAATGAAGGCACTCTGCTGATGAATGAAGGAGCTAACTGTCTCAACCTGACTTTGAAATATCACAGTATTTGACTTTGTCAGTATCTTTCTCTGCTTATTATTGATTATTTAATTTATAAACCCTTTCTCAATTGAATTTCGACAAAAATAAACTTGTCAAGATGCATATCACTGGATCAGGCCTATTCCGAAGAACCAGAATACCAGTCCAGAGATAGGAACACAGATTCCAATACCTTGACCTGTGGGTAATTGTCCATTGCAAAGTACCAATCTGATACCAGTGGTTTTTCCACCTAATTCAAAATCTGCATTCCCCAATGAATGCAATGGATTGGGATCTCTTTTCTATGTGTAAGTTAACATGAGCATACAACTACACATCACTTCTTACTAAAAGTGGAGGCATTAGTTGTGAAGAGACATTAGCTCACTGCAGTAAATGAATGGAGGAAACAATGAAGCTCCTGTTGTGAGAATGCTGTTTGAGTGACAGAATAATAACTGCTGGCAAATATTTATGAATAAGGCATTATTGTGCACAGGGATTGCTGTGGTGCTCAGCCATTGGCCCAGTGCAGCTGAATAAAGGTGGAATCACTGAATTTCAATGACAGGTCACGAAGCAGTTTTTATTAGGAGCAGGCTCGGCTTAATAATGTCAGTTCTGGGACCAATACTGTTCCAGCGCAACAAATCAGTGCATCCCTAATACCCCTAATATAAGGCTCTTGGGGTAAATTTTGGATTTTTGATATCGGGCTGTATAAAAAAGGTATAGTGGACCTGACTGAATCGTTGTTGGAATATGAAATTCGACACTGTGACACAAGATTTTATCCGTAGATCTACCCCTGACCCATAGTAACACTAGATCATCAAAGAGTACCTTACATGGTTGGTGGATAAAGCTGCAATAATTAATCAATTAATTGTCGACTATTAAATTAATTGCCAACTCATTTGATAACAGTTTTGTAAATGTGAATATTTTCAGTTTTTACTCCTCCAGTTACTGAATATTTAGGGGTTTTGGAGGGAAAAAAAATGTCAGAGGACATCATCTTGGTCTTTGGGAAACCCAGCTTGACATATTTCAAAATGTTTTGCTATATTATGGACCAAATTATTAAGAAATAATTTAAAAAAAAATAATTGATAGACTAATTTATTTATTTTATTTTACAGCGACAGTGCACAGTTACTTAGAGGCACCAGAGTTAGCTATAAGCTAATTTTCATCTGTAGTCTCTGGGCAGGAAACAGAGAATAATTTATCGGCTACAATTAATGTAGTCAATAAGTGGAGCCCTCTTACAGGGTGTCTGCAGCTTCTTAAAAAGTTGTAAAATGTTTAATGTTCTTAAATTCAATTTTATAAATATTTGATCTGAAAGGTCATTAAATTGTCTTGAATTTGAATTTGTGTGGCCCTAATTGCCACAAACCTGTTATTTATCTTTTAATATATTTTTGTCAAAATGAATCAAGCTCTTCTGTGTAAAAGTCCACATTTGTGATAGTACAAATCTTTAAACCTGCCCCTGAACCTAGTACCCTCTTTTTACATCATACTTGCACTTTTTGGTGAAATGTAAATTAACCTTACTCACTCTAAAAACCATATTCCTACATAGAACCAACCTCTGCTCTTAAATTTGCTTAAAAAATGTCTTGAAAGGGTAGAAAAAGTACTAAATTTAAGTGTCTGATACCAGTAGACACCATATATAGGTGGTACTGCTGATCAAGGTGCGTCTTACTCAAGGTCCCTGTGTCTCTCCCTCAGGGTGGCGACAGATCACAACATAGACAACACCACAGCCATCCTGAGAGACTGGCTGGTGAAGGTGCAGAATGACTATCACTATGTGGAGTGGAGACCTGACGACGAATCCAGGTACTGTGTGTGTATGTGTGTGTGTGTTTGTGTGTGTGCGTGTGTGTGTGTGCGTGCGTGCGTATATGAGTGAATGAGTATGTGTGTGAGACATGCATTACCTAATAGTTACTGTCCGTGCATGTGTCAGTGCCTTTGAAGATGAGGTGGGGCCTAAGCACTGGAATAATCTCCGTTATGAACATGTAATGAAGCTCCGTCAGGCAGCGCTGGAGACCGCCCGCGAGATCTGGGCCGACTACCTGCTGGTATGTTATCATCCCCTCAACAGCTTCATAAGCTTCCTCTTATTATGCACTCTGAGTGATGTCTCTGACTCTGGGTCAGAAGTGAGCAGAGATACGTGGAAGTAAGTAAGCTGAGTCACAGCACTCGACTCTTTGAATACTCGAGCATGCATTGTCTGCACTTGATAATACCTGTTCAGGGTAAGGAGGTCAATGTTAAATAGATGGATGAGAAAGTAAAGCTCAGTCTTTTACATAGAAAATAAAAAGGTACTGCAATAAAGACGAAATCTATGAGCAATGAACAAAGCCATGTTTTAGACAAAGAGACATTTTGATGACTACTGCAGATTTATTTAACGTCTTAATTTCTTTTTAGTCCTAAAATCTAATCTTCCAGAGATTATCTCTGTGACATGTTTCTTTGTGTTATAAATTGGCCATTTTGTCACAGCAGATGTAAGCAAAGCAACATAAAGCATAATGAGCTGTGCTAATGTAATAAAGTAATGGAGAAGATCGAGGAGATGAACGCCACAGTGGGAAGGAAAGAGATGGAGTTCAAATATTTGTTTGTCGTTAGTCTAAGTCATGTTAACATTATTTTTTCACTGGTACGACTTTTCCATAATGTACAATAAAGCCCAAGTATCTTTGCTATGGTTTCCTGTATTTCAATATATGATGCAGTGGTGTAGAGTTGTTAAAATGCTTTTCTCTTTTCTCTTTTTTAATTTCATTCACTACCATTGCCAACTTATTTGTCATAGCCATGATGTAAAATGTAAAAAAAGTCATAGTATTTGGTCATTAAAGAGCTATAGCCAAGATCATCTGTACAGATCAGGAAATTTTCCAGTTGAAAAATTAATTTGTCAGATGAACCAGTACAAAATGGTGACACTGTTTGTACACCACCTCAGACATATTTTTGGCAATTCTCTTGTGCAAGTTCATGTTTTATTCATGAGCCAATATGTAGGCCAGTAGGGGTGTAATGATACATGAAAATCTGGATTGATATATGATTCAAGGAGCAATGATCCACAGTCATCGGTGCAAATTGAAAACATCAATACATAGCATCAACTTTAAGATACACCTTTATCTTGACATTCTGATGGCATGTCTGTCACCAAGCACACCTCCTTCCTAAACATTCAAACAGTGCTCGCAGCTCATCGCCAGGCAGACAATGTCAAGCAGTCAAGAAAAAGACTGAAGATATTTACTGATATTGTCTCAAACTGATCGTAGGCCCCTCAAAATTGTGTCATGGCAGACTTTCTAATTTCAGCAAATATCGTATTGTGTTGAAACTTGGGATGTACACTCCTATAGGCCAGTAAAGATCTGTCTATATTTGGGATCAGCTGATACTTCAACACAGCTGATCATCAGTAAAAAAAAGAGTAAGTAAAAATGTAGAGTACAGTGCACAGTTTCAAATGTCAGTGTAAGAATGACCTCAGCTTTAAATTGGCAGTATCTGGACAAATATTTTGGCAGAAGAAAATGCAGGTTGACTGGGAGCAGTCTTCATTTACTGGAGCTGCTCTTGGTGAGACACAAGGAGGCAAACGTACACAAGGGTTAAATATCGAGTTTTGGCATTGAGCAGAGGTTGTTCTCAACACACCAGAGTGGAGAACATCCTACTGCAAATACAAGTGCAGCCTGTCTGTACGGCTTGTTTAAAATTCTGGGCTGTGAGTTAAAGTGGGGCGGGAGGGAGCTGCTTATGCTCGCAGTATTCTGTGATCGAACCATGTTGCTGTGGCTCAATCAATCATTTAGTGACAGTGAGTGACATTTTGTCTGTGCTTGCATGTGCATGTGCATGTGCATGTGCGTGTTTGAGTCTTGTCAATACTGTGCCCTTCTCCTCCATCTGCAGGTGGCTGACTGTGACAACCTGCTCACCAATCCGGACACGTTATGGAAGCTAATTAGTGAGAACAAGACGATCGTAGCGCCAATGCTGGAGTCCAGAGCTGCGTATTCTAACTTCTGGTGCGGCATGACCTCACAGGTACTGCAATTTACACGACTTCTAACATGCCTGTAGAGCTTTAGGTACACTTCACAGTTCCTTCACCTGCTTTGTGTGTTGGGTGTGGTTGTGGTGTAAATGTTCTGCTACAATAAGATTACTGTGGTGACATTAGAAATCAGATTAACAGTTATATTAACAGTAAAGTCACTCTAGTTACGACACCAAATCAAATACTCTCTAAGTCACTGTAAGACTACTAATGCAGGTATTACGCATGGGCTTTAAAGTATGAACTGCACATTACTAAAGTACAGTTGTTTATGCCTCCGCCAGGCAATAGCCATGGCCATTATGTTTTCAAGTTATTCATCTTTTGGTCTCATTCTTGTGAATGGGATATCTCAAGAACACCGTAAGAGAATTTCCTCAAATTTCACACAAACGTCCACTTTGTACTGAAGAATAACCTGATTGGAATTTGGTGGTCAAAGGTCAAGGTCACTGCGACCTCACATAACATGTTTTTGGCCATGACTCAAGAATTATTTAGCTAATTTTGACAAAACTTCACACAAATGTATAGTAGGGTATAATGATGACATTTTATATCCAAAAAGTCAATGGTCAGCTTCACTGTAGCATCATAATGTAATGCAAAAACACTTGGCCATTATCCAGTGTCATACCTCCAGACAGGGAGAAATTTGGTTAGATACTGAATTGCTGACGCTGATCTTGAGTGTGCTGTGCTGATTGTATAGATCTTCTGTGCTGCCAGGGAGAAGATGTGTATAAAGGATCCATGTTTTCACTGACATAGCTGTGAACTGTAACCGCAACTTGACTGGTTCATGGAGGCATACAACCACGAGGTGGTAATTCTATTGTTACATCTTTGGACAGATAATGCAATCCACATAAAGTCTGCTGTTTGATAGTGAATAAAATGTTACTTTTCATGCGGCTCTGCAGAATAATAGAGTGCATCTCCTGCTACCTTCATTATGCAGAAATTCGATCTGGAGGGAATTTCACACTTGATTATTTTTTCTTGTGCATGAAGAAATCAAATTTGTGTGAATAAGTCACTTTAGAAACACTGCAAATGAGTCAATTTGAAGGACCAGTAGAGAGGTTTTTTTATTCTTAAAGTATTCAAGTGATTCCCCTCTGATTACTGGGTAGGAGCGAAATGCTGTGGTAAATATACATTGCAAATTAAAGTGAATTATTTGTCTAACAAGTGAGCTAAATCTGTCCTGCTCCAATATCACATAGTATTTAGATCTGACTAGTTGCCACATTTATCTAAAAGATACTACTGCGGTTTGTGCTGCTGGTAAAACTATGGGCCAAAGTGACTTTTAATTAATGTATGCCTCATATCCCATAAAATTTTCAGATTTACAGACATCATTACAGCTCTGCCAGCTTGATTTTGACTAATCAGACTTGCACATCTGATTTATTGGGCATTATGTACTGTATGTGGGTGTCTTGGATGCAGTTCTGTCTGTGATATATTTCTGTCTGGACAGGATGCCTTCAAGTACTCATCCTTGCTTCTTTTCAAATCAGAGTAGACATATGGACATTGTCTATCCTCAAGCACAGAATAAACTCTAACCCAGACCCTGCCTGTCTGATTCCCTGCAGAGAACATTTTCTTCAATGACAGTTAATGGGCCTGTAGCCAAAAGGCAATAAGCGATGTCTGTCAATGTCTCTTCATGTAAGTCAGTATTACTCAGGCTTAGTCACTGAATTTTTTTCTTTTTCTTTTCTTTTTTTGTAGTATTTTAGTAAAGTTTGAAGTTTCAGACATGTCTTGGTCCTGTAAAGGGTTTTAAACTGACACATAGATGTTGATGCGTAGAGTTTGGGCAACCAATTTTCTCAATCAAGTCTCTGTCAAACATCTCAGATCAAATCAGATCAGATTTTGAGTTTTCCCCAGCTTTTTAATATGTCTCTGCACCAGTGACAGCTGTGGCTGGAGGCATTGTGGTTTCCCGTTGTCCGTCCAGCCCATTCTTGAGAACCCAATATGTCAGGAAGTAATTCAGGGAATGTCTTCAGGTCTGGCACGAACGTCCTCCTGGACTCAAGGATGAAGTGATTAGAGTTTGGTGGTCAAAGGTCACTGTGACCTCACAAAGAAGAGGTTTTTGGCCAGAACTAAAGAATTCTTAGACAAATTGACATCATAATTCGTGCAAAAACACTTTTCTCACCATTATTTAACGTCATAACTCAGGAACAGAAGGGGAGACATTTGAAAGAAAAGCAAATGGCGTATAACTGTACAGTGTTTGTGTGCATTCACTGCAGGGTTACTACAAGCGTACACCAGCCTACATGCCTATCCGTAAGGGAGAGCGCCGTGGCTGTTTCGCTGTACCGATGGTCCACTCCACCTACCTCGTGGACCTACAGAAAGAGGCCTCCCGTCAGCTGGCTTTTTATCCACCACACCCAGAGTATAGCTGGACCCTGGATGATGTCATAGTCTTTGCCTACTCAGCTCGCGCTGCAGGTGAGACCGAGAGTTGTTATCTGGCGGAGTTCTTAATGTCTTTCTAGGCATGTTTTTTTATATGTTTGTCTCTTGTATCTTTGCAGAGGTGCAGATGTATGTGTGCAACAAAGAGATTTATGGTTATTTCCCAGTTCCAACGCGTTCCCATGGTACCCTGCAGGATGAGGCGGAGAGCTTCTTGCATACTCAGCTTGAGGTCATGGGTAGGTCAAGATCAGAGTGATTTCTTTGTGTTCTACAGTTTTAGCAAAAGTGTGAGAGTTTGCATGTGATCAATCATTTACACAGACACTAGGCTGTAATTAGACGTGATTAGATCTTTGTACAATGGACATTTGTTCAGTTGTACTGATCTGTTGTTCAGTTTTATCTTTAACTTGCATTGTCATGTTGTAGAGGTACGCAGTTTTGGCATTTATTTGATTTTCCCAACTTGTGTTAAGCTAAACTAAATGTTTTTGCTGCATCCATTATGAAAAACCAAGACAGGTTTTCTGAAAGTAGCCTAAAGATGTAGCAACTTAATATATTGTTTACCTCTACCTAAAAACTGCATACCTATTTAGACAATGTTTTGGTTCATGACATTACCTTTGCTAAAATAATTTTGCAGCCAATTTTTTTCAGTTTAAAGGTCTAGTGTGCAGGATTTAGTGGCATCTAGCGGTGACGTTGCAGATTGCAATCAACTGAAACTTCTCCCATGTGCCAAGCATGTAGGACAGGCCTCTTTAATTACAAAGTGCTTTGGGCCGGATTTTAAATCTAGGAAATGTAGACTGGGCAGACCTTCTCAGCAGCTAGCCTTTTCAAAACCTTTTTTTTTTTCTTAACTTTTGATAACCACACATTTTAAACCAATGTAAATTAATGTTGTTAGAAATAGCGATGTTTATTTTTTTGCTTTTGAAATTTAGAAAAATATATTTGGTCACATATCTGACCCAGGCACATCACAACGTGCAGAAACAGATTAAAAAAAGAGTTGTCACTGCACTAAACCTTAACAAGTGGCAATAACAGTAACAAATACCACACTCTATCTCTCTCTACTAGTATTTCTCTCCTTCTCTCTCCACTCTTTCTCCCACACACACACAAACACACATCTTGGTGGTGACTACTCAGTAACAGCCAAGATGTTTGGAAAAGCTACTAAGCATGATCAGAACTGTATCACATGAGAAAACATTGTTTTGTGAAAGATATGATTTGCGGTGTTGTGATACCAACCCGTACACCCTGCCTGATCGGTACTGCGCATATGCAACTCAACAGAGATGGGAAGGAAGCGAGATGGCTCACTCGTTAGGTACTTGCAGACTTAAAATCACAGTTAAGAATATGATATTCCATTTCTGCAAATAGATGCCCCTAAAGCCTACACACTGAACCTCAAAGATATTGCCAATTAAGGGTGGAAAGCTGTCCAGGTGAGACATTCAGTAAACAAGAGAGGAAACAGAAGTGTCCACTAAAAAGTGCCATAAAAAACAAGTGATGTGTGAGTGTAGCGCTATGACTCAGGGACTCCCAAAATAGAATCCAAGTTATCAGAGTTAAGGTAGGGTCCTGCTAAAACTGTCCTCTGTTAGTTATATTCTACTGTATATACTAAAGTCTTTGTGTAGCACTACTGTGAGTATTGTAGGTGAGGAAACACCAGCAGGATGTGCTGTGAAACCCACATAATGAATACCAATTATGATAAAACAGTGTATACATATACTCATCTCACAGAAATCTAGTTCAAATTGTTCATTTTGGAAATCTCCTGAGGACTCCTGAGCATCCCAGAGCCACATTTTGGGAACGTCTGTTCCATCACATAACACATTCTCTTTGTAACCTTCCCCCCGTTTTCCTTTGAAAGTGAGAAATCCTCCATTGGAGCCCTCCAGCTTCCTGTCTCTTCCTCCCAAGCAGCCTGACAAGATTGGCTTTGATGAGGTACGCACACTCAGTCGCATAAACACATAAAACACACAGAATAACCCAAGCATGTGTGTGAGGTTTTGCATTCGTGTGCACCCAGGTGTTTATGATAAATCTGGTGCGGAGAGCTGACCGTCGTGAGCGGATGCTGAGAAGTCTGTATGAGCAGGAGATCAGCTGTAAGGTTGTCGCTGCTGTGGATGGCAAGTACGTTTCTCATCTTCTTCCTCCCCCACTGCCTGTGTCTTACTGATTTGTGCCTCGGCAATGTGCGGTTTAGATTGATGTAGGCAGGCTGAGCTGAGACAAACAACCAGGTGAAAAGTAGCGGGTGCCTGCTGTCAATTAAATTTTCTCTGAACCACATAGTTTGATCTTGTCTGTGAGTAAAATGTAACTCTTATGTGTGTGTAGGCTATCCAATCAGTAGGTAGCATCATGTTTTACCTTCTATCATCTTTATTTGTAATGGTGAGAATAAGTAAAAAAACAGCTTGCAACACACGCATGTCTTATATTGTCTGTTTCCTGTTTTCACACACACATCACATCCATATAATTTATTGTTTCTATATCTAATCTCTGTGTTTATCCCTTCTCTTTCTTCTCAGAGCTCTGAACAAGACTGATATAGAGTCTATGAGGATTAAAATGCTGCCAGGTTACAAAGACCCTTATCACGGTCGGCCTCTCACCAAGGGTGAACTGGGTTGTTTCCTCTCTCATTACAACATCTGGAGGGAGGTGAGACACTTGGAAAGGCCTCAGGCCTCTGGGTCTACCTGTGCATGGTAGATAACGTTTACTACTGAAAAACACAGTAACTCAGTTTGTGTGAGGAGCGGCAGCTGGTGAGATTAATGAGCTTGTTTTATTTTTGTTACAAAAAATATACTGCTTTTTTTTTTGGGAATAAGGTTCTCCAGCAACTTGCTGTCTTTGTTAATGTAAGAGAACGTGTTATAATTTAGAACAAAGGACTCCAGCATAGCAGCAAAGGATTTAAGAAGCTTTTCCATCACAGTAATGCAATAATGAAGCTCTTTCCTGCCAACGTGATGGGAAAAAAAAAGATTCCATTAGTCAGTGTACTGAGAAACTTTCTCAAAATAATGTCTTAGTATCTTAAAATGATAAGAAACATTCTCAAAATTATTAGTTTAATTTCCCTATTTTGTCCACACATATAAATACAGATCACTTTAAATAAGAAATCTTATGGTTTATATAACAAAACCACATCCAAAGGACAGACAAAAGGTAATTGGTCAAGGTATTAGTCATAATTATTAGTTAAAAGTATAGTTATAAAGGACAAAAAAACGTGTAGAAATGGGAATCCTTTCCATATTCACAGTAGTAGCAACAGTTTGTATGAGTGATGATTTTTTCCAAATCCTATGTGTTTGACAGCAGGGCATTTCTGAGTGTCTTTTTGTACATAGCCACAGTTACAGAGGGATCCATTAAATGTGCATTTTCATTTCCCAGGATAACTATGAAATTTGATAGAAAACTGACGTGAGACCTTAGTACCTTAAAATAATGAGGAAACATTGTCAAAATATTTACTTATCCTTTTCAAACTGCCTGTGAAGAGCAGGAATATTGCGCTGTTATGCCGACCTACCATTCTGTATAAAACCTACGATTGTGGAATGGGGGGACAGTGTGGTCCAGCCCTTAATCTGCCACCAGAGGTAGTAACAGCGTCGAAAAGGTATCTGTATTAACAGGACAGCTGGGCAGGACAGGAGGTGTGGTGTTTTGAAGACATGTTACATATGTGACCCACCATGGGAGATTTAGAAAGTAGCTGTTAGCAGTTAGCGGCTAACTAAAAAAAAAAAGAATAGCAGCTGTAAATGTCTGGTAAAACAATATGACTCGGGAGCTCCTTACCCTCCAGGCAGAGGATGAGATCAGCTGCCATACAACAGGGACGGTACATGATTGTTATTGCTTTGTTATGCCATTGTTGTTTATGAAGTGCTGCTGACGCATGTGTCACACTAAGCCTACACTGTTGAGTTATATGTGGTGCTTGTCACACCTCTTTTGATTGCGGGACGCAAGATGCAAATTCAAGAACGTTTCTCATTATTTTGAGATACCAAGTCATTATTTCAAGAATGTTTTATTAATTATGACTTACAGGATCTTTTTTTCATAACATTGGTGAAAAAGGGCTTCCATACATGCCAGCTCACCCAGCAGCACTGTAGTGCTCAAAAACTCATGTGTTTCTGTATTTGTGTGTAGATAGTAGATCGTGGTCTGCAGACATCCCTGGTCATCGAGGACGACCTCCGCTTTGAGGTGTTCTTCAAGCGACGAATCCAGGCGCTGCTGCAGGAGGTGAAGACACACAAGCTGGACTGGGATCTCATGTGAGTGATGCTTCAGCGAACAGAAGGAAAACACGATGTAGTAAATAGAGAGGATTATCAGTGAAATCCGTCCATCTGTCACACATGATATCTCACACACCACTGATCACATGCTGAAGACACTTGTGGGAATTATGCATCTTAGCATCACACGACTGAGCTGCTGCAGCATGTTCACATTCACAGAGACCGATCACGGTCAGAGAAGAACAAATTTGGTGGAGTAATGTCAGAAAATAAATACCGTTCATTTTCTGCACAGACCATGACAAAGTGTGTAAAGGCGTGAACGTATCCAAAAATGAGCAACCTCAGTAGATAATATCAGGGTTTTTCTTCATAGAAAGTCTAAGGCATATAATCTTATCTTTTTTTTGTCTCCTTTGTTTTTGTTTGATTGCATTTGATTGCAATCTGGTCATGTCATCCAGTGTATTAAGTCTTGTCTGGTCTCACCTGCCATGTCTCGCCTCACTAAATAAAACAAACAAATAAATAAATTAAAAAAAGTCTGAGGCATGTAAAGATGTTAGGAGAAAACTACAACTCAGGAAGTGTTTCGATAAGACACATCCTATCACTGTGTTTAGAATTCTGCTGCATGCACCACTAATAGCAAGCTGGGGCTAAAGATTGTATTGTACACTTCATATTAAGTTCAGCAGTTGTTTGTTTAGTGTTTGTGATATTTATGGTGCCTCTTGTCTTGAACACTAAATACAGTTACATCGGGCGAAAGCGGATGCAGGTGGACCACCAAGAGAAGACTGTGCCAAACATCCATAATCTGGTGGAGGCAGACTACTCCTACTGGACACTAGGTTATCTGTTGTCTTTACAAGGAGCCCGGAAGCTCCTCAAGGCCGACCCTCTGACCAAGTTGCTTCCTGTCGATGAGTTCCTTCCTGTCATGTACGACAAACATCCAGTGTGAGTATAACCCATCTGTCCCTTAATCTTCTCTCTGTTCCTCTCATCATGTCTCATTTTTTATGCTCTTGTAAATCTAATCACTTTGCTGTTTCTCTCACTCATCAGGTCAGAGTACATGGACCACTTTGAGACTCGGGACCTGCGCGCGTTTTCTGCTGAGCCACTTCTGGTGTATCCGACCCATTACACAGGAGACGAGGGCTACATCAGTGACACGGAAACATCAGTGGTGTGGGACAACGAGACCGTCAAAACCGACTGGGACCGAGCCAAGTCGAGGAAAACTCAGGAGCAGGGGGAGCTGAGCTTCGAGGCCCAGAACTCCGACGTACTGCAGTCTGAACTGGAGAACTGGAGCACACGGGACGAGCTGTGACGAAGAAGAGGGGACTTGACGAGGAGAGACAGAGAAGACTCTGGCAAACAGAGATAAGGATAAAAGGGGATAGAATAAAGCTGTGATGGTGGAGGGAATGGATAAGATGGCGAGAATAAAACAAACGCAGGAGAAGAGAGAGGAAAGGCAGAGTCAGACCGACGCAGGGTTAGTGAGGGGAAAATGCTTTTCCTTATACATTTCTCTCCCCGGTCTTTCATCTTTCTCTTAGGAGATGAGATGTAGATGTAGAGTTAACTCTTGAAGAGTCAGCTAGCAGCTTTTGTTTTATTTATTGCATCCAACGCACATCCCTTGACCACAGCCCTGTCCGATAACAGAACCATGTAGGGCTGGGCAATATGTTGATATTATATCCATATCCTGATATGAAACTAGATATCATCGTAGATTTTGGATATCTTCCAGACTATTTTCCTGGTTAAAAGGCTGCATTACAGTAAAGTGATGTAATTTTCTGAACTTATCAAACTGTCCTGGCCCTCTACTATTTGCCTCTACCCACATCATCATAATATCCACATATCCACATAGCAGTCTCATAGTTAAAATATTTCGCAAATGCACCAAGAGTCAACCTTACAATATCTTCCCTATATCAATATTCAGGTGTATGGTAAAAAAAATATGTGATATCAGATGTTTTCCATATGACCCAGCCCTAGTTCCATGTCTTAAAGGTCCAGTGTGGAGGATTTAGTGCCATCTAGTGTTATAGAACTGAAACTTCTCTTGTGGGCCAAGCGTGTAGGAGACCTACAGAGGCTGATTCAAAAATGTAAAAGGCCCTATGTAGAGCCAGTGTTTGGTTTGCCCGTTTGTGGCGACTGTAGTACAACATGGTGGACTTCATGGAGGAGGACCTGTTATTATAAACAAATGAAAACACAGACATATGCCATTTCTGCCAATAGATGCCCCTAAATGCTACACACTGGACCTTTAAATAGTATTTCACCCATATATAAAGTCTTCCATAGAAAATAAAATAAAAGCAGGTGCTGGAAAAAGATGCAGTATTTAGCTCAACTCCAAAGTGACATCTGTTCACAACACATCATCAAAACATCACCTAGTTACACGCGAAAGCTGCAGTATGCTTTGGCTTTGGAAAATGAGCCTCTAGAATATAAAACGACAGCTCCTTTTATACTCTTAAGGAAAAACACAGTCACTAAAATGCTGCCTTTTCTATACACAGTATTATACGGTCAGTGGCTCCCAACCTTTTTGGCTTTTGATCCCTTAAGAAGAAGCAGTGTCTACTTGAAACCCCTCATCACCAGTTGCGGATGTCTACTGGCTGTGACGAGTTCTACCAAAGAGTTGGGAACCACTGCTCTGTCGTCTTCTCCCACTGACTCTTAACTCCTTGTTGTTAAGTTCAGTCATTGTGTTATTTAAGTTTTCGAAGGTTGTTAGTTAATAGCCTTAGATATTTTTCACTCATGAATGTAATGTAGTGTTTTATTTGCTGTCAAACCTTTTTACACTTTGACAGCAGCTGTGTATTGGTTTACTGTTCCCCCCTCGGTTCATATTGCAGTTTTAATGTAGCTTTTGTTGCATTTTGTTTGTCGAAGATCACAGAAAACAAATGAATATTGATTTTTTTAAGTAACTTTTCATGTTTTGTCTCCTTTGTGGTTACAAAGTGTGTTTTTTTAACCAAAGAATGAATAAATGCTTTTATAATTACTGGCTGTGCTATTCTCTGCTGAATTTAGCTTGGACCACACGAGGACACACTCGAGCATCAGCCCCTTAAAGTTAAATTAAAGAACACTGTAGCACTGACATTGTACAAATTGTGGGTTTATTTCTAGCCAGAGCAACAGTGGCTAAAACATCAACATACATTGTGCACTGCTTTTTTTTGGCACACAGCAGTTTTATTTCAGCCCAGATGTAAACGTCCCACAATCCAGTTGAAAGGTTTCTTTTAATTAGTGCCTGCTGGTGTTCGCCTTCCCTGCCTGTGCATAATGGTCAGTTTGGGCTGCAGCAGGCTGCAATTACTCCTCCTTCACTGTATTTACACAGACAATCCTTTATTCACTGTTAACCTGTGAAGTGACCCTGCTGTGCTGAGTAATACAGTTTCATGTAATTTGCATCCAAGACAAAGATTGTGTCACTGAAAAAGGCTGAATTAAAAAGAGATAGATATTATACTTTAAACTTAAAATTAGGTATGGCAATAGACATTCTCTGATACCATTGTACACTCACCGGCCACTTTATTAGGTATACCAAGCTAGTACCAGGTTGGACCCCCTTTTGCATTCAGAACTGCCTTAATTCTTAATGGCATAGATTTAACAAGGTGCTGGAAACATTGCTCAGAGATTTTGGTCCATATTGACATGATAGCATCACGCTGTTGCTGCAGATTTGTCGGCTGCACATCCATGATGTCAATCTCCCGTTCCACCACATCCCAAAGGTTTTGGCACCCGCTGTGGTCTTCTGCTGCTGTAGCTCATCTGCCTCAAGGTTCGACGTGTTGTTGGTTAAGAGATGGTCTTCTGCATACCTTGGTTGTAACAAGTGGTTATTTGAGTGTCTTTCTATCATCTTGAACCAGTCTGGCCATTCTCCTCTGACCTCTGGCATCAACAAGGCATTTTCACCCAGAGAACTGCTGCTCACTGGATACTTCCTCCCTTTCGAACCATCCTCTGTAAACCCAAGAAATGGTTGTCACTTAAATCACCTTTCTTTCCCATTCTGATGCTCAGTTTGAACTTCAGCAGGTCGTCTTGACCATGTCTACATGCCTAAATGCATTGAGTTGCTGCCATGTGATTGGCTGATTAGTTATTTATGTTAACAAGCAGTTGAACAGGTGTACCTAATAATTTGATTCCCTTTTTCTGATTCCTGATAAATTTTCTGTATGTAAAAAGTAGGTTTATTTGTCATGCATTTTCGTTTTCATTTAGGTTTCTCTTAGTCAAAGAAAAAATATGCTAAGGCTACCTGCGTGGCACTAATGTTAATATAACAGGATAATCACCCTTGATAATGGGCATGCTGCTTGGTTGGGAAGCAGCGTGTAGAGTGTCAGATACATTCCTGAAATATAAGCCCATGTTACGCAGAAATATGTTTGAGCATATTGCTGAAATGATCATTATACAGACGTTACGAACAGCACTGATGTCATCTTCCTTTGTGAAGCTTTACTTTGGACCTTGCCGTGACCCCTTATTGTTGCAGGTTTCCAGCAGCCTACACGCAGCTGGTTTGATGTTGTTGTTTTGCAATGCACAACTGTCAGGAAAACATGCCGGCAGGGATAAAAGGAATTTATAAGCTCGGAGGCATACGAATCAGATAGATCAGGCAGTTTGGAACTGGTGCTCGATTCCCATCCCTACTGTGTGTATAATCATGTCGGAATTTTTTTATTGCATGTCCCTCAGGACCAACAACAGAAGTCTAAAGTCACACTTGTTGCTCTTTGAAGCTGCACTTCAACACAGCTGTTTAAGTGAAATGCTAACTAAACATTAGCATGCTAACATGCCAGTGTTGAGCTGGTTGTATTTACAAGGTTCGCCATCTTAGTTTTGGTTATAAGCACTGAACTGAAGTACAGCTGAGGTTGATGGGGGATGTCATTATCCCTGCAGGTATTTGATCACAATCAAACGTACTGGACAAATAGTGCTGGATGAAAAATTCAGCAAAGGTATTACATCTCATCCTGAGGAGAACACAAATGTCTTGTTGTGGCTCGACAGACCGACACCTCTGCCCCTACGGTAAAGCCACGCCACTTAACGTCATGTCTACAAAGCTTTAGCATGTGTTGGGTGACCATGCTCACATGTCCACAGTATGTTTCGGATTATTTGTGTGTGAATGTGCATCCATGTGCAGCCAGTGGCGAACGTCTGTGCGACTCAGACTAATCCCATTAGATCGCTCTCTCCCCCCCACCTCTATATTTACCTCACCCCTCTGTGAGATTAACCCAGGTATTTTGTGCAAGTGCCTCTGCAGATCAATAGCCACTTTTCTACAGTAAGACCTGCTGGGGTTTACTAGAACCAGGCTTGACTCAAACTATCGACTTTCCCAGTTCATTTCCTTGAAGCTCCGCATCCTGGCTGTCAAACCCCCTTGGTAACAGGTTGCTAAAGAATCATTACAATTATCTGAGGGGTAAATGAGTGACAGCAGTAATTAGTAAGACTACAACCAGCACCGTTTGGCTGTGAAGGAAAGGTTGGAGCAGGTAAGGAAGCTTTGCTTGTTGCAAACGTGAAACATGCCTGTCTGTGTTCTCTGTTTCCTGTCTGTCTTTCTTACCACCTTCTCACCTGCATGTCAGTCCTCATTTTGCAATCCAATTTGTCCTGTTACTTCATCCTTCCTTTCCACCCTCCCTTCTTCTCTTTAAGTAATAAGATTGCTACTGTTGAGCTGGAGTTTTAGGGCCCGCAGCATACACGCACACACACATGCACACACACACTCAGACACAGGAGCAACCTCTGCCCTTGAATTACAGCACTGCCACACCTCCAGCTATCTGTAATCTCCCTCAGTACAGCACAGAGTGCCAGGTAAAGAAATTACAGAGCAAGAGGTGAAGAGGCAGTGAAAGGTGTCACTAACATAAACTTTGCAGGATTTAAAGGAAGAAAGAAAACAAATCACAGAAAGAGTACAATGGCTTGAAAGAGAGAGGAACTGGATATATTTCCTTCCCTGTAGGAGTCGAGGAGTTTCAAGGTGAGGTAAATTACTTGTGGTATATGCAGCTGCCACGGCATGTACAGAGATTGATGGTCTATTAAATCCGCAACTAACAAAACAAGGCAGTGTCGCTAGTATATATCAGGTGCAATCGATCAGCTTCAAAAAGTGAACCGGATTATTGTGAAATAACTTTTCCAAATGTAGGATTTAAGCTCTGACCTTTCAGAGTCTTCCAGTAAATCCTCACTTCTTTTTTTTCTTCAGGTAAGGTGCAATGCTGCTCAATTTCAAACATATTTCTCCTACATCAGCCTTGGAAGTTTCAGTCCAGAGTTGTAGTCTCAAATAGATCTGGCACAGCTCAGAGCCAGAGAGCCAAATCTAATTTGTGAGGTTATCACTGTCAATTCACAGCCTGCAGCGACTGCGGCGACAGTGAAATACAGGCTGGCAGAGACAGATAAAGCACATTTCTGAGATGTTAGGCCTGAACTTTATTTCTATATATGAAATTTATTTCTTATGTGGTTTTTTGTTCTGAGCCATAAGTCTGCGTTTTGGAAATGCCGTCCCATAAATGGCTGATTCATCCTAGCCAGCTGATCCTGGCTGGGCTGTTGGGTTGTATTTAGATTACCTTTTCCTACAAAATCTATTGTAGCTGGCAGACTGGATCTCCTCCTGTAGGTTGCAACACAAAACTAAACATCAGTCAGTCAATGAGCAGCATCACTTAAAGGGAACCTTACTGCAAGATGCTGACATTTTTTCTTGGCCCTTCCCCTCTTAGTTCAGTGCGTCTCTTATTGCTACAGACAACCCAACCAATCAAAGGGCTTAGTGTATTTCACCAGAGTAATCCACTCAGTTTCAGTAGCTACTAAGTACATGAGTCCTGGGTACATCTGTCATAAACAAACAATTAGAGAGTAGCAGTCAGATATCAGTTTGTATCTGAAAAGCTGTGGACCTCTTTATCCTCATAAACAGCCACGTCCAGACTTAAGATCATATGCAGAGTAATGGTGTCCCGAGAGTGAAGGCACACAGCGTCTCTTAGTGTTGTAATCCGAGCTTCTCTGTTGTTTGTTGTGGTGGACAGTCTGGCTGCATGTGCATGTTAGTGCATGTGAGTCTCTGTGAGTGTTTCCCATTGGCTAGCTAATGGCCGCCACTCATTCATTCAATCATTTCCATGTCCAGATATGACGTGCAAGGTGCCCTGCATGAGTTGGTTGTTGACGTTCTTGAACACCGTGTCAAGTTATGTCTGTTGCATGCATTGTCTTCTATTTAAAATGCACTTCTGTTTTCACAGGAAATTTAATGCTTGCATACAGTCTCTTTCAAAAACACACTGCATTGGTACAGCACTATAAATTGAAATTTTTTTGCCTTCAACAACAAAAGCACGTGGTTAGATTTCGGAAAAAAGAAGGGTTTGTCTTTATAATCTTACGAGACATGAGCACTGCTCTCCTGGGTGAAAGTCTTTGGGTTTGTCGGACCCATCCATGACCCCTCCCACCAGCCCAACTCAGACTTTCGTCGCCTTAACTTTCGTTCATGTAGAAGGGAACCATAGCTGTCACACTCTCACCTACCACGGTGGTGGAATGGCATCATAGAGCATTAGCATTCCCCCCTACGTTAGCTCTGTCAGCACTGTTGCCATTGTTAGCACTGTTTGTACTGTTGGCACCATCAGCTGCTAACTGCCAGCTTTGCCACCTCCATGTGGAGGCAATCCTCTCAGAGTCTGAATTTATCAATATGCTCTGAATGTTGCATACTGCTCCCTTAAAGAAAATGATAAACAGTAAACTGTGGTATCAGTCAATCATCAATTTCTAGACTCTTTATTTTCTGCCGATGTGTGGTAATAACAGATTAAGGTGGCAGGGATTTATTTGTTCAAATCTAGAAAGAAGATTCTTTATTCATGTATTTTTGTGGATATGCATATAAATCAATAGCATTGCTTATGAAAGCTACTTTTGTTCTTCCTCTGAGCTTCCTCTGCTGCACCAAAAATGATATTAGTGTTAACAAAAGGGCTTTATTCAGGATTAATATAGGAGAAATATAACCCATGTATAAATATCTGTCTTTGTTGTCACAGTATTAGGGGGCAGGAACAAACTCCAAAGATGGACTCCTACATGAGAATCTGCTTGTTAGACGTCTTTTTATTCAGCAACATCTGAATTAAAATCATGCCAGCTGTTAAGTTTTCTTTAATTGAGCTGCAACAGTCGGATAAGTCTAATCAAACCTCACCCACACAGTCCCAATGAAGCAGAGATTATAGTATGGTAAAACTCCTACTAAGTAACAGCTGTTTTTTCACCGAACTTTGGCTCTTGCTTACTTAGTCATAAATATTTAATACCTATGTTTTGAAACCAATTTTCAGGGGCTAATAGACCATAATGCAGTGTAGCCACAATGTGCTTTTTTTCCAGTTTGGGGGAAATAATCCATTCTCTTTCTGCTGCATTGCTACTTCTCTTCCCAAACACATATACACAGAACACAGCTGTATGCAACAACTTCACACTCTGGGATGTTGAAAGTCATTCTGGGAAATCAGTGTAAAGTTAAACTGCTGAGGCTGCACTGAAAATCTCAGATGATTTCCTAATGATGTTCAACAGCATTACCATGGATGCAAGCAAAGAACTGCACCACTCCTGATGAGATTATACATGTATATTGTAGCACAAATATACAAACCTGCATTTCGCCTTTCTCCACAGAGGCCCTTTACCCTGTCTTCCATCATGGTGGACCTGTTCCTAGACCGAGTTCTGATTGAGAACAACTGGGACCAAGATGAACTCAACACGGAGCGCGAGATCATCGGGATCCTTGAAAATCGCATCCTGTTGCTGTTCTTTGCATCGGCAGAGTGTGAAAAGTGCCAGGAGTTCCTGCCTGTTCTGAACGACTTCTTTAAGAGACTGAAAGATCCAGCGTACATTGAATACCCCAAACTGTTCGCGCTTGTCTTCATCAGGTCTCTATCTTTCCTTCTCTTCATCTCTTTGACGCACCCATGTGATTGCATGAACTTGCATTCACACTGTTTTATCATTCATAACATTTCCATTTCCATCTCTCTCCAGCTTGGACCAATCAGAGAAGCAGCAGGAGCGAGTCCTCAAAGAGCTGCACAAAAGGGTTCTGTTTTTAGCCTTTGACGACCCATATGGGAAGTAGGTGGAAAGAAAACTCAAATGTTTTTGTAAATTTACTTGTATTTCTAACCTGTTTGAGTGTATGTGTCTGAAACAACATGATGACATTTCATTGTAACTGATTAGACATGAATAACGTGCATTGCCATAACTGTGTGTGTGTTCTTCTCTTTGTCAGAGAACTGCAGGCCATGTTCAAGGTAAGGGACGTACCAACAGTTGTGGTCCTTCGTCCAGACGGCTCCGTCCTCTCTCCAAACGCTGTGCAAGACATCTGTCGTTACGGTTGCGACTGTTTCCGAGACTGGCAGGAATCAGCGGAGGTCATCGAGAGGACCTTCATGCTCAACGAGCAGTTCGAGAACCTAAACATGCGCACAGCCACTGACCCCGTGAAGAGACTCAAGTACAAGACGGAAGACGACAAGAGGAAAAAGAGATGGTGGAACTTGTGGGGGAAGGGAAAAGATGCGTATGAAGTGGAGGAGGAGAAAGATGGAGCATTTGATAGAAAGAGAAAGGAGGGAGATAAAGGACCATGGAGGAAAAGATGAAGAGAAGGAATCAAAGAAAAAAAAACATATATGAATATGTATAAGAGGCAGAGGTTTTGGTGTTGGTTGTCATAAGTCTTCAAGTAAATACTTAACTCCTGTGTTAATGATACTGCAGCCACTTTACAGGCTCTTGAAGAAACACTCAGAAATACTTGCAATGCCTGCAATGGCATGTGCAGGAGAATTCTTAAAAAATGCACACTGAAAAAAGCTCCTCTTTGCCGGAGGTATTGGCATGTAGAAGCATAACTGTGCCTCTCTGCACAGGTGACACGAAATTTGAAAAAAATGAAGCTCTAGTTTAAGAAATATACCACAATTACTTCTAACTATTGAATATTTTAATGTAGCCTACTATCTATAATTATTATTATTATCCAGTCTTATACATTGTCAATTAATGACTGAAATTAACTAAGCGTGAGTCGTTACGTTTTCAGTCTCACAGCAAATGTCATTGTTCTCATAATGTAATGTAGCCTTCATATACTATGAACACTGTACTCCAGAATCCAATTTAAACCTCCACAAATCAATATTTGTGTATTAACAGTGTTTAAAATGACGACATGTAGTGACAAAGGGGTTACTCTTGGTGACAGACCCCACCACGCAGCTCTTTTTTGGACCTTTTAAGTGTATTGTTTTTGACAAAGTGATTAAGGTCACATCCACTCCATTTTCACTTTTCAGGCAGCTGAAAAGCAAGATTATTTTTCAGCAAAAAATAATCAGCAAATAATCAGAAAGAAGTTTGTTGCCTGCCCAACAACAAATGGCAAAGGTTGGCAACTATAGCTATCATGGGTGTAGTGCTATTTGTTGAAGTAATGGAGTGCAAATGTGCATCCCCATGGTTCAGTTGTGGCTCGTTTCGAAAGTTATGTAACCACAGTCCTCCCACAGTTACAAGTTTACATACATGAGTCTATACTATATATAACTATAACATACATCCTCATCGCAACTTGTCAAATACCGCCGTTTTGTCAGTGGGCCCACATGTCAAAATATAATGTGCCAGGTACCCTCCTGTGTCAGTTTTGGATGTTTAGGGACAGTGTGTCAATGCATGCTTGTTATATGCATTGTGTCTTTTCAGAACACACTTCCCTTTTCACAGGAAATGTACAGTTTCTGCTCATCACATGCATACAGTCTTTTTCAAAATAAAATTACAGCAAGTGTAAAACACATTATTTTTAGGGTTATTTCCTTAAGTTTAAACAACAAAAACACGTGGTAAGGTTTAATTAGAAACATCATGGTTTAGCTTAAAATAATTGCCGTTGTTACAAGCATCATGTAACATCACGAGACATACATCACCTCCGTTGCATGCTACACATACTAGCACACTACATTGTTATCAAAATAACTTTACTGACTTTTGGTTTCACACAGGAAATAAACAGCGGTCTCCCAGGTGAAAGTCCGGAGTTTGTTTTACCAATCCACCTCCACTCTCACACTACTAAACATACTTTGCCGCTGTCCAGTGTGTTTTATACTGCTGTGACGGGTGCCTGTGTGTGTCTAACGCCAACATGACTGACAAAAATGATGGTATTTGATGAGTTGGGAGTGGGACCAGACTGACTATAAATTTAAAATGAAAGCATGTTTTGTTGCCTCTTTATCTTTACTAGTTAGGCTATGTATAGACAGAGAAAAATTAATTCAGTGTGCCACTGAAAGGCTACTGCTGCTACCGGCAACATGTAAGATGAAACATTTTCTTGTATGTTATTTAATGCATAAGTTGATGTCATGAATCAGTCAGCACAGCTAGGATAACCATCCCTTTTGTTTTTATTGTCTCTCTTACATAACATATGCTTTGGAGACTATTGGATCTTCAAGTGCTTTAAAATGTCTATGAATTTCAGATGAATCATGCAAACTGTGACTATTGTAGCCTATGTCCTCACTTGGAGAAAGAAAGTGTTGAAGCCTTGTTTCAGTGCACTCAGGCAACACTACACCCCTGATAGCTAGTAAAGAAAGTCACACATCTTGCAGCTAAAAAACCACATATTTTTCTCATGGGTCGGTAGAGGCCAAACCAGAAAAAAGGACAGTGAAGGCTGGAGATATTTCAAATGAATGATAATGTTGCTCCATGTCTGTTTAATTAATGTTTAAAACTAAGAAGTTTGCTAAGTCATGGTAATAATGTGTTACGGCTGTCTTTGTGGAGTTTTTATGCCCCCAAGTGGCCAAAAAGATGATTGCAGCTCTGAACTAAATTTAGGCGCTGGCGCCTGCTGGTGTTTTCAAATCAAAATTAATATTTTGTCAAGCACTGTGTGTCTGTTATTTATTTTTAGAATTATTTTGCCATGTTAAATATGGCGTGTCTCTTGAGCTAATTTCTATTTTGTTATTAAATATTATAAGTTGTTATATAAAAGTTGTATGGATCTACAAAAGCAATAAAGTCTTGATTCTGCAAACACAAACTTTGTGTGTGTGTCACTGCTGTGGCTTCATGGCCATATTGTGTCGTTCCCTGCAGAGTGAATCAAGCTATCACCAACGCACATTCCCTGTGGTTCTGTTCCTCCATTAGTTACTGAATAATAAAGGTCTCACTGTGGCTCACTTCATTAAGGTCTTTTTATTTTTTCAAGCATGTCTCTCATTCTGTAATTTCTATGCTTTCTGGCTCAGTCACTTCCTTCACACACACACACACAGTCACAGTGAGCACTTCATGTCTCTTGTCCCTCTGTCACCTTGTCTTTCAATCCCTCCCTCCCAGACAGAGGAGGGGAGGTGGAGCACAGAGACACAAAGGGAGAAGGGAGTGAGCAGCTACTGCCGTCAAGGTGAAGGAGACACAGTCAATGAGTGAATGTGGTATAAAGTGACAGGCTGGGAACTGATTCAAGTACGACCCAGGAGGAGTTGAAAAGAAAGAAAAAAAACTATATTTTGAAGGCTGTTTTCTTTTTGGATTTGCGGCCTCAAGGGGAGATAATATTTGTGAGAGGTAAGCAACTGTGAGGATTATCCGATTTAACAGCAAGCAAGATGGGCTCATATGATTAATGGGACATCTGTAATTCTGACTGAGAGGAAACATAGCATCTAATTTATAGGCCAGAGTCTTTAAATAATACAGTATGCAAGATAAACCTTTGCAAAAGCAGAAACTCTTTCAGATATTCTCAAGAGTGTTATAGCTGTTAGTCTGTGCTCTCTTCATGTTTGGCACTGATATGCATGAATGTGAAAAACCCTGACAACTGTCTCTTTCTGTTTATGTCCTTTCACTTCATGTTGTGCATGATGTCCAAGTCAAACCAATGTATATAAATAGTTTTTTCATCCCTCCCTAAGCCCCAGTCCTCCTTCCTGTGACACCTCATCATGGTGGACCTGTTCGTTGACCGGGTCCTGGTGAAAAACAACAAGGACCAGGATGAGCTGGACACAGAACGAGAGATCGTCATGCGCCTGCAGAACCGCATCCTGATGCTCTTCTTTGCATCTGCTGCATGTGAGAGCTGCCAGCAGTTTGCTCCCACGCTCGCCGACTTCTTCAAAAGATTGACAGATGAATTTTATGTGGACCGCGCTGCTCAGCTTGTTCTCCTGTATATTAGGTACAACACACACACAAAAGGACACACATTAAGGTGTTGCTGAAGCTTACAGATTCTCAAAACCAAAACCTATACTTAATGTACTTAGCTGCTCAGCTACTACCCTTATCCTATCCTAAATTAAAACATCTTCATCATCTGTGTACACATTCTGTGTGCACAAGTGCGGCAGCATACGGTACATGTATTAATCCCCACTGTATCTCTTGGAAAGGACAAGGAAAATAAAATAGTCTTGTCCTAGTTATAGCCAAACATTCCTATTTTGTGAGAGCTAAATGTCCTCATAAGGCAGGATAACACAGATAAGCAAACATTTGAATAGCTTTTCTAGACTTGGAGTCTATCTCTCTCCCTTTTTCTTTCATCCATCAGTTTGGACCAGTCAGAGGAACAGCAAGAAAGCTTCCTCAAAGAGCTGCCCAAGAAGTGCCTGTTCCTGGCCTATGAGGACCCCTACAGGAGGTGTGTGGGTTTGGCCATTTAGTTGTGTGCACAACCTGCTGGTGGATGATTGAAGTGTAAATATACCTTGCTGTATAAACCTATTAGCTGTATGCCAATGTGTGTGCCAGTGTGTGCGTGTGTCCACAGGGAGCTGGAGGCCATGTTTAATGTGCAGGAGCTACCCACAGTGGTGGTGCTGCGGCCCGACTGCTCCATCCTCATCCCGAATGCAGTGGAGGAGATACTCGGCCTCGGCCCGGGCTGTTACCGTAACTGGCAGGAAGCGGCGGAGCTCATTGACAGGAACTTCATGATCAATGAGGACTTTGAGGAGAAGTCCATGCGAAGCTTGAGTGACCCGGTGAGAAGGCTGAAGTACAAGGTGGAAGACGAGAAGAAGAAGAACAAGCAGAAAAAGCGCAAAGGGTGGGGTAGAGGTGGAGAGGAAGATGCAGAGGTGGATGGAGGAGGGCCTTCATGGTGATGGAGGCCAAGAACAAGAGGACAAGACTGAGAGTTTCTCCAAAAGTTGCCATGATTAGCAATTAAAGCTTTGTTACAAAGATTCCTACTGATGCTGCAAATGTGACAGTGTTTTATTTAAAGGGACAGTTCACTCCAAAATTAAAAATACAAATTTTTCCTCTACCTGTAGTGCTATTTATCAGTCAAGATTGTTTTAGTGTGAGTTGCTGAGTGTTGGAGATATAGGCTGTAGAGATGTCTGCCTTCTCTCCAATATAATGGAACTAGATGGCACTCTGCTTGTGGTGTTTAAAGCGCCAAAAAAATACATTTGAAAAACTCAACAGCAATGACTCTTTCCAGAAGTTATGACCCAGTTACTCAAGATAATCCACACACCTTGTTGTGAGCAGTTAGGAACTATTTTCTTTTTACTGAGGTGCACCTGCCAACCATATCAATGCGCAGAAGGAAGTGTGCATCTACTCATGGAAGAGAGGCCACAAGCCAAATGCCATATAGTTCCATTATATTGAAGAGAAAGGCAGACATCTCTATGGCTGATATCTCCAGCACTCGGCAACTCACACCAAAATTATCTGGACTGATGAATAGTACTACAGGTAAGAAGAAAAATATGTATTTTAGATTTTGGAGTGAACCGTCCCTTTAACAAAACTAAACCTCTTTCAGAGCTCAATATCAGAAAATACAGACAAATCTAATCTTACTGAAGAGGTAGAAATGTCAGACTGATGTTACTATGACTAGATTCAGCACCCATGTATGAAGTCTTACTGCAAACATATTACCCATATAAGTGGGTGTGGAAATGCCAACAACCAATAAAAAGTAATTTAAAACACTATCTAAAGGAACACTGAATGCTGCTAACCAATGCTGACCTCAGCTTAGAAGTGGCTGTCTTTAATATATCTGAAAGCTGCCAAGTACACAGTCAAGCCAAGCTTAGGTCTGAGCCAAGTCTTACCATTATGGCTTGTTTTATTACTCCCCGGAGATTATTCTAACCATTTCCTCATTTTCAGCGACACAGCACTGTAATGCTCTCCCCCCCACCTGCTTCTTTTTGCATGATAATTTGCACCACCCAATCAAAACACATCACGCATAATCTGACATCAATGAATTATTCAGCGCCATTAAAATAATTTTGTTAGTGACTGTTGTGCTTTGAGTGTTTATGAAGTCTAGTTCCACTTTACAGGCTACACAAGAAGCAATCAGAGCCATTCAAAGGCAGTCAAGTGAAATTATGGAGAAACCGGCTTTTCGAAATAATCAGTGATTTCCTCTGACATGACTCATCCTCTTTCAAGCCAAGGACTGTGTTTAGCCTTTGCACACTTCCTCGCACATGTAAACTGCATGAGTGATGCTTTTATGAGATCAGTCAGTTATCTCCCATCCATCCTCTATCCTCTGAGTGACCCGGGCCGTCACTGCATGCTGACATTACTCCTCAAATGCAAATACAAAAAGCAGTTTTTTGCATTGTAGGACTAATGGCAGTAATGGCAGGAACAGATGGGATAAACATGCTTCTGCAGGGGCATGATGAAACCAGCATGTCATCAGGTGTCATCAAGGTGTGACTGGTTGATGGGTTTGACATATACATTGCAGTGACATGATGATGTAGCTGTTGCTCAAAGCAAAGCTCCTCCTGTAAGGTTAATAGAAATGTTGCAAATGCCTGTGCCTGCTGGATGTGCACAGGCATGCACGACAAACACAATAGCTCCCCTTTCTGCATGTTCCTGCCATGGGAGAAACGCTAAACCTAAATCCGAGCTGGCCAGACCTGTAAAAAGACACAGCGGCCTAAATAAACATGAGCCGCTGTTTGTTCCATATTCCTGTGCCTTTTGCCTACACAGCAGCTTATTGTTGCTCACTCAGACAAACCTTGGTAATATAGTCGAAGCCCCCATCTCTCCCTGCCTCTCTGCACACACGCGCACACACAAACACACACACGTGCGCACACAAAGGCACGCCAACACACGCGTTGCGCGCTCTCGAGTGCAGAACGCGCAACAAGCGGACCAGCGGATGGAGAGAGGGAGAGAGAGCCAGAAGAAGAAGAAGAAGAGAGAAGGACGGATGCAAGGCGAGGCCAGGAGCAGAAAACCACATCTCTCCTGACTGTCCAGTTGTCTTTTTGTTTTTTATCACAGCGTCACCTCATAGCGCGATTCCTGCCTTTTTTTAAACAAAAAAAAGCCTGATATTTCCCTTGTATCCGTCCTGATGTGCTGCTGCGCCTCATCACGATTCTTCAAGGATATGCAAAGCGGCTGTCATCACGTCGACGCTATTTGCCAATAAATGCAAGGATGTAATATCGGGAGGCTGTGATCAACGATGACAAACGACGACCGGGCTTAATGAGCTGTAGAAATCGACGGAGGGAGACGGAGCAGCTCGGGTCCGTGCGTTAATTTGCGCCTAATTATTGTTTTCGTGTGCGATCGCGTATTTTCCTTCCCCCTGGTCCATCGGAGCTGTAAGGCCTATAGCCCGCACCGTCTCTGGACATGAAACCCGTGGGAATTATGATACCAACGTGCCGCGCAGTCACACACAAGCACAGCGGGGAAGACATCGAGCCTCGACAGGACGGAGGGAGGGTGTGAGGTCCAGCAGAGCAGAGCCCTGCACAGTGCGCTGATCACAGGAGGAGGACGCCCAGTTGTTGTTGGACACATCGCGCTAATGACTGCCGTATAGCCCCAGCAGGTATCGCCCACCACCATTTCCACACTGAATATTTGGTTTTATTTTTTCATGCATCGGGCAGAGCGGAGAGGGAGAAAAGGAGGAGAGTACAGTGGGTGCACGAGGGCGCGGAGAGACGGGATGCGGGAGACGCAGTGAGCGAGGAGGAGGAGGAGGAGGAGGAGGGAAACCGGAGGATTGACGGTAAGATATGGATATAGGCTATGAGGATGCACCCCGCCCCTCCTCTCTCTTTCTTTCTCCCTCTCCCTCTCACATGCTCACGCGCACATACATGATCAATGCCTGAGAAGACAGCAGAGGTGCTTTGCTCCTCTGCTGCTGCTGCTGTCAAGGGCCATTTGATCACTGAGGGACAGGGATCTGATGGGCTGCCTTTGCAGGGCCTCATACTGCTGGCTGCCATTAAGAGCTGGGTCAGTAGTATAGGAGTGTGAGGCATGGGTGCTGTGAAATATTCATGGGCACGTGATTAGCCTCCTCTGGGCCTCAGAGGGGAGTGCAGCAGGGGGAAAGTGGCATAATGACTCAGGGTGTCCCACGCTGGCCCACCAGAGGGGTCTGTCACGAGTGGGCTGAATATGCTCATTACAGTCACACACATCATCACACTCCTTCATTGCAGTGTCTGGTATGCTGCAGTGCAAAGTGGTGTAAACACACACACACACACACACACAAAGGAGGTATAAATGCAAGGTTTGGTTGGATGGTTGGTTGGAATGTTTGCTGGTTTTGGTTTGCTGATTCACCACAGATGGGAGCATGAGGAGGAAAGAGGAAGAGAGCGCAGAGAGAGAGTGAGAGTCCATTATCAATATTTCAGAGTGGGGATGAGAGGACTGGGTCAGTGGAGGAGGCCAGCCAGGGAGTGCAGGAGCGACTACAAGGATGAGAAAACAGAGAGAGATGGAGAGGAGGAAAGGAGACAAATGAAGGGTGGAGGAGGAGAGGGATGAGAGGAGAAAGAGAGACGGCTCAGTGGCTGACAGGACTCTTGTGCCGGGCTTGTAACCTTGAGTGTGTGTGCTGAGGTATTGTGTGGAGTGAAAAGGACGATTGATTTGATCTGATTTATATGTGGAAATGTTAGTGAAAACACATTTTAATAAGCTGACTCACGTAGTTGTGTGTGTGTGTGTGTGTGTGTGTGTGTGTGTGCCGTGCATGTAGATGGGACACAGAAAACAGAGGTAAGGAGGTTTGTTTCCATGTAGGGATCATTTACATTAACCACTGAGGACAAAAAAAAAGAAATCTGATTTGCTTAAACCACTCAGACACGCACATATGCATGCGCGCGCACACACACACACACACACACACAATTTGGATGGATTTGACTTGTAAAACGCACCAGATTTGTCTCTTTTCTCCTCAGACCACCTCACACAGGTTCCTATCATGTCTCTTTGCATCAGTCAGACACACTGAGTCAGTCTCCTTGCCTGTGCTGTGAGCGTGAGCGCAGGCCCTTTCAGAGCTGGGGGAGGATTTATTAGTGTAATATCAATATCTTGATATGAGATGAGACGTCAGCTGGGATTTGACTTATTACAATATTGCAACAATTATTTTCATCATTGATTATTTTTCAAAAATGGTTCATTAACCTGAAATGAATGTTTTGTCTATAAAACAGAAAAAATAGATAGCCCAGGGTGATGTCAGGTTGATTTGTTCAGTCAAAAACCTCCACTGTAATATGTCAGAGAAAAATAATGCAGCAAACCCTTACATTTGAGACGTAGAAGCCAGTGAGCATTTTTTTGCTCGTAAGGTTATTGAAATGAGAGATCACTTGTAAAAAGCTGCAAATTGATTTTCTTCATTCAAATAGCTGCTGTAAGTTAGATGTAGAGCCGTACAGTTGTGTTTTCCTAGCAGTGTTAGAGATAAGTGAAGCAATTATCTGAGCTTATCAGACTGTTGTAGTGAAAGAAAATGAGCAGTAATGACCATCATAACCATACTTTTTTTTTTTTTACTCAAAATCTTGCATGTCAATGTCCCTAAAAGTCCTCTGCAAAAACATTTTGAGCATCAAACAAGTACATTTCCTGCATTCTGGTGTATTATTATGCACCAATTTGTGCCTTTTCTTCATTATTTTATGGTGTCAATGTCTTAAATTTTGTCAAAATAAAAGTCCACTGCTATTTTTGTGTTTTTATTGAGAGGGACAAATGCACGTGTCCCCTCCTCCATTTTCTGAAAACCCATGTGAGAAACAGTTTGGATAAAATAACCAGGCAATCATTTCGGAAAACCCACTCTTGTCCAGGTGCTGAGTCC